GAAACTTTAATTTTAGTATATGTGGCATATATATTAATAAAGCAATCTGAATGCTTTTTCCATTTCTATGCATTGTGAAGTTTTCCTGTCGGGCAGGCTTCTCAAGCAATTCAGGTTAGGTTCCAAATGCTGCTGAACTGTGTGGGAAAAGGTTTTCAGAACACATTTCTACTATTTAATTATTTTAACCCCAGATGATCTGTAGTCTATCAAAATTTTTAGAATATTGTTTCTTTACAGTTCTAAGTGACTGTCTCATTTCAATAAGATTATTTTTCTCATTCCTTCCTATAGTATAATGCAGATAATCACAAGACAGAATAATTGTCTCATAAATCCATCAGGAATCTGCAGCTTGTTCTTTTCCAATTAATTATTCAATCAGTAAATTTTTTAAAACTCCAGCAGCATGGTTACATCTACACTAATAAAGAATTTTCAGCCTATAATCCAAAACAGAACCTGAATGAATAATGTAATTGAAGTATTACATTACATAAACCACACATGAAAGAATTGCTAATTGCGTTTGATGGTGGGCAATTAATACAGAATCTTAGATGAGCGATTTAAAATGAAACCACAGTTTAAAGTTCCCTTTGGAACTAGAGATATCTGAAGTGGTGAGCTGCACTACTGGCCTCAAATTGGTTTGAAAGAAGAGTGGTCAATACTATTCCCCCCCCCCTAAAATTTATACACTGTACAAAAGAAGCTTCAAAATTGATATGATAGTAGAGATTTATGGTCTCATGTGCAGTGGCTCAGTTGAGACGGCCCACACATTTGATAAATATTAATAGCATGAATTTATTACCAAGGAGAAATGAGCTCTGTTGGTTCATCACTGCACCCTTAACAGCTATCAGTACATGAACACAAGGTGCAACCGCACTGTCTATTATATGACCCCATTTACTCTCTGAATGGTACTTCATTAAATGGTACCTTTTGGCCATGCTATGGATGGATGAAAATCAAAGTTATCAAGGCTGCGAGTCCTGAATAATGAGTTTCACCCAACCTTGAATATATTCAGATGAGCTGAGGTGGCTAAGTGCTCATCCTAGGTTTTACATGCTTTTCTTTCGTTAATAATAAATTCTATTTTATCAGTTCATGATTGCATGCCTACAAACATGTTATGCTTATTATTGCTGGCTAGTAGAATAAGTTACCGTAACATTGTAAACATAGTAGTTTGCATCCATACAGATTGAGCATTTCTGCAGCTTTTGTAATTTTTAATGTGTTTATAACGTATATTGTGGCTACATGCTATTGCTGTGCCAGAAGTTTTACTGTTTTATGCTTTTTCATGCTGCATTTTCTGGTGGGCAAATATATAGGTTAAAGTATTTTTCAATGGCATGCTCTAGAAGTAAACCTTTTTTTTTTCTTTCTAATTTATATGCTTGTTTGTAAGAGAAAACGATTTTAAAAATCAAATGCAGGTTTAAAAGCTTTGATATTAAAAAACAAAGGTTAGCAATTTATAGTTAAACAAGGTATATGTTACTTAAATCTTCCTTCATCTCTCAGACTCTTCAAAAATACTTCTTTTTGCCACGGACAAGCTTAAACTCTTAGCTTTGTGAATGTATTAAATAAAGCATTTGGTAGCATTATCTGAGCTTTTTTTATGTACGTAACAAAGAATTCCCATTCCAGTCTGCTGGCTTAGAGTATGAGCAGAAGAACAGTCTGTGGTTTATTGGGAACAGATGCACTTGGGGATGCCTTCAGGGTGCCAGTCGTTATTATTAGACTGCTAATGTGCTTCTTCTGGCTGCTGCCCAAGAAAGAAGAACAATTAGCTGGCATATGTTAATTTTTGTTTCCCTAACAAATCTCTCTACTGACTAAATGTGTAAAACAAATCCACAAAGAAAGATCAATCAATGCTGTACACATCATTTTCTCCCCATTAAAAAGAGGTTTATCTTAAGAAGTGTATTTGGGATTTGAAAAGGCAGGTGTTACTAAATTATACACAAACCCCAAATTTTCTGTGCTTAGCCACTTGCAGTTGCTCCATGCAGATGAAGAACAATTAATATTAGTTTTCTTGTTCAGCTCTATAAATTACTGTATAAAGTGAAAATGACTACAGATTACCCCTTATGAGTATCATTTAAGTATAGGGCAGCAATCTTTTTATGTGCTGCCCTGAGTATAAATTCTGTTAATTGGATGCTATTTATGACAAAAGATGTATGGTAAATATGACAGAGGTAATACGAGTTTTTGATAATGAGGAACAGGGCCTTACTGAGGGGAGTAATGAAGGGCACACTGTTAAACAGCTTGCATACATTCTCACCTTTTTTTTCCTTTTTTCTACCCTGACACCCACTTTCCAGGGTACATCAGCAATAAGTGACACTGTAATCATAAATTGAAAATGATACTTCCAGAGGAATTGGCAAACTTGACATTTCATTATATTTGTTAACACATGCCACAAATGATTGTTAGTGAGGAAATTCCATTTCCCTCTCTCCATCTCCAATCAGATTTAATTTGAAAATTTTCAGCCTCCTCCGGCTAATTTGCAATTAAGACAATTTTGTTTGAATATGTAGTAATGTCATTACCATTCCACCAAATTAGCAAGGAGACTAAAGGTCAGTGTAAAATTTTCCAGCTGGCTGGAGCCTCTCAGCTGAGATTTGGGACTGGGAAAAAAAAAAAAAAAAAAAACACAACTCTGGCAGCATCAGAATAGCAACTTATTTTAAGTCTTGTTTGTATGAATACTCACATCTTTTATTACATTTATTGTTGTTATTGTTGTTTCAGCAGAAAAAAAGCAGGAGCTAGGTCTGTTGTAAAACAGACCTAAATAATCACCAGCTAGTTTCTATTGCAGGCAAACATACTTTTTGTGAAGTCTGGTAGTACTAGAAGGAGTTAGTCCTAAGTAACATTGCAGCAGATTATTAGATAACCTCTAACAGCATCCTCTAATTAGAGTTCTTATGATACAATTTCATCCTGTAATTAGTTGAGATTGGCTGCTTCCTTTTGCAGCTTATTAGTGGCAACACAGCTGTAGAAGTGAATCCACTCTCATTTGTCAAACCTTTTTAAGTCTTTTTTTTTTTTCCCCCCCCCCTCACTGCTTTTTCTTTGCTTTCCTTTTGGGTTTCTGCAGCTCAATTTGGTGTCTAGTGTCACCATGTCTAAGAACATGTTGGAGACATCCCCACAGAGCTTACCTCAAACTCCCACAACACCGACGGCCCCAGTCACCCCAATTACCCAGGGACCCTCTGTAATCACCCCAGCCAGTGTACCCAATGTGGGAGCCATTCGAAGAAGACATTCAGACAAATACAACATTCCCATGTCATCAGGTAGGACTTTTATTGTGATATTCCCCAAATTTATGCTATAACTAAAATATCGTAGAGGCAAGTTGAGAATGTCAAAGAGGTGTTTAATACAGATGATTTTAAAAGAATTTTAAATTAAAGAATTGGAAAACTGAAAGAAAAGAAGCTCTGAAACAGTCTTGTTTTAGCATGAGAAGTTAAAACTAGATATGTGAAAAGGGTTGGTATTAATGGTGATATATACTCCTTTAGTTGCCATCAGCCTGCGCTAACCATATTTAATTCTGTCTATGCGTGTTAGTGTATTACTTCTCTGCTAACCAGAGAAAAATCCTACAAAGGAATGTTTTAGATGGGAAATAAGAGAGGGCAGGGAGGGAGATGGCTGACCGTCACTATACGACCGTGTAAGAAAACATTCAGTTTGCACATTTTAAAAGGGTCTTGCCGCTGGAAGCGCGCTGGATGGCTGGGTATGCCACTGCTGGCGTACATTAAGCGACCGACTGGGGCGTGCTTCGCTTGCCCTTTTACATCGAGGAGCGCAGAAAAGACTTTTTGGTGTAATTTGCTCGTCTGTGGCCTTTTGTGCGTTCCTGAGTGAATAGTGCCTTTGAAAATTGTTGTGAGCAGATAGGAAACAACGTCATCAATCGTAATACTCAGTGCGGGCTACTAATAACATTAACGTACAGTTCATATGGTTTTATTTTACAGAAATTGCCCCAAACTACGAATTTTATAAAAATGCAGATGTCAGACCTCCATTTACTTATGCAACTCTCATAAGGCAGGTAAGTAGAGAGAAAATTAAGTTTGCCTGATTAAATTAAAATTCATTAATGCTTAAAGTAAGGCTTGGTTGAGAAAGTGTCATCCAGTCTAGTTAGTAAACCATTATTTTATGTCACTATGTATCTTGTCTCATTTCAGGCTATCATGGAATCGAGTGACAGGCAGTTAACACTTAATGAAATTTACAGCTGGTTTACACGGACATTTGCTTACTTCAGGCGTAATGCAGCAACTTGGAAGGTAACTTCTTTGCTGGCAGTTTAAAGATGCCTAGCGCAGTTCCTTACAGATAGCACAAGGAACATTTATTTACATGACATAAGCAGATTAGTATCTGCTTCCCCTCTTTTTAACCTGCCTCTTGAATGGAATGAATTCCCTCTCTCAAAATGACAAGTGAAAGAATAATTTTGCCTCTGATATAGTTTTCTAATTTGGTGCAATTAATAGCTGAGGCTTGGCAGAGAAATGAGGGCCTGACACACTAATTACAGTGTGAGCACTCAATCATCAACACCTTTGTTAGTCGCACTATATTACTTTTTCTCTTGCATATTATTGGCTAATTAGTTTGAAAAATGTCTGTTTGCCTTGTGCAACAAATGGAGGCTGTAGGTTTTGTCTTGGTCTGTGCCTTTTGTACACATCATACCTCATCATACAGACTGAAGCTGCCACAGGAGTGAGGGCCATGGCTACTCAGCTGGAACTAAAAGAAAGTAAAGTGAATATTATCCTGTCAGAACATAAATGCAGTTTATTTACTTAGACAAAAGGGTTCATCTATATCCCTGTCCAAACAACTTCATTGTCTGGATCCTACAAGGAGCTAAAGAAATGTTAGTTCTGTGCATCTATTTTTGGAAA